GGAATGCTCTTTTTTTTTTTTTTTTTTATTCAATGTGCATTTTTATTCTTCTCACTATAGGAACTATTCAGCAATGTAGCGATGCCATTGACCATCTAAAACGTATTATTGTTCACAAAGCCCCATCCTTGAACCAGGCATCTAAGCGGCGCATACCAAGGTGCAGTTACTCATCTGTATACCCTGTATATGTTGACGGTTATGTTGGACAGCTAATTTCCTTTAACTTCTCATTGTGTTTGTTTTGTTTGTTTCTTGTTGGAAAAAGTCTCTAAAACCACACACTGAACAATTTTAACAAAGTGTAAATGTATGCATTTTGAATTGTATTTTTTTTTTCATAAAACCCCTAATAATTCATTGGCAACACAAAAGATGTGTATAATGTGTTTTTTTTTTAAAGATTTATGAATATATTTCAGTTACAAAGTGTGTTACTGGAGGTAAGAAAAGTCAGATAACTTTGAGAACTGATGCATTTAGTACATGTTTGGTCATCCTTTTTTAATGTAGAGGATTTCCTCCAAGCAAGACTCTTCGTCTCCTGGACATTGTTATGTGGCTGTTAGAACAATGTGGGCGCCCTCAGGCTGATTGCAGGCACAAGGCAATGGAACTGTTCTTTGAATTTGTTCCTTTATTACCAGGTATCTTACTATGAATGCAATACGCTGATCCTTCCTTTATTTAGATAGTAATAGTAATAGATGGTTAAGTAAAAATATTCTTCATACACCTATTGTCCTACTTTTTTTTTGTTAAACTTATTTTAAAAAGCCACAAAACCCAATTGCAATAAACCTGCAATATATGTGACATGTTCTGGGACTGTCCATGTATTATTGTACATGTAAACCTAATGATTACAATTTGATATCAGCTTTTTTAGTGTATAATAAAGCCAAAGGTTATTATTTATTTATTTAGATACATTTTAAAAAGCTCTGTTGGTTTTTCATTGTATTCCAAATTGAGAAGATTTAAAATATTATAGTTGTTACAGGAACAGGAAGTGAGGGGAAATCCAATAAGGACACTAGTTTCAGTGATAGCTGTCTAAGAGGGGATTTCGCCTTTTCTTTGGCAAGATTTCCTCTTACTCTTGCATACACTTTATTTCTGTTTCCAAATTAGTTTTCAATATTTTTTAATGTGAAGCTTTAAATAAAATAATGCCTAAGGATTTTGCCTTACAGGTCCTTGTTCAGGCACTTCCTTGTATAGGATTGTAATGTGTCTCCCAATTGTACGCCTACATTCTCCTCGCCCTGTCTCATGGGCTTCTGATTTCAGCACACATTATGTACTACATATTGTTGTCGCTGACAGGAAACCCGCTGAAGTGCATGCATCTAGACAGGAGGTGGTTGCAAAAGATCAGCATCACCAAGATAAAACAAAGGAAAAAAATGGTGAAAGCAAGTATGTTATGAAAACAAAATGGCATGGAACCAAATTCAGCCACTGTATTAAGTAGCATGAAATAGGAAAATGCAGTTCAGTTGAAGATAAAATCATACCCCAAAGTGTTTATCCTTTGTCTGGTCTTTCTGTATTGCTGCCATGAATAGTCTTTATAGCTGCTGTAGAACACTTTTTGCTTTTACCCCTATTCAGTGATAAGCCGAGTAGATCTGTATAACGTTTTTGTAGAACTGAATACTAAGCGTGATTTTTTTGCAATTTGCAGAAAAGAAATCCCCATCTGCCTGGTTGGATGAGATTATTAAGAAAGATGGTGTCAGTTTCTTGATTGATAGGTTTGAAGGTGCAGGCAATATGGATCCAAAAAATTGTGGAATATTGCACATTGCCACTCTCCATGAACTGAAAGAGGTCTTCACTTTGACAGCTGTAATTCGGTGGATGGACATGTTGCTTGCAGCTCTGGATTGCTACAATACATTTATTGGCATGCGTGTTTTGAAGCCACACACATTGCTAGGTGAGGAAATACTCTTTGTTTTTTATAGCTGTAATTGTCAGTTGCATAACTGTTCTTGTACGCGTTGTTTTTTTATGTGAACTTTGACGTTTAAAGAGTTAGTTCACATTTAATGACATCCATTTAATGACAATCCATAAAAATCCATATACATTACAGCTTAGATTGACAGCTAAAATACTATTCTTCATTTTTTTAAATGGTTTACTTTTCTAGCGTGGACTCCTCCTCTCCGTGGATACATGGCCCCAGCCTCTCAAGGCTGAACACTCTGCTATGGAGACTCTGCTAGCCTAACCATGCATGCGTAGTTCGCTTTCTCTCTCACTTGCAGAATGCTGAGCTCAGATGCTGCCCAGAGAGAGCCGATTGTGTATTTGTAGTTTCGCAAGTGCTCATTTATGTGGAGCTTGAATCAAGCATTCATCGGTCGGTCTGTCCTGTCATGTAGACAGAACGGAGAGGGGTAGCAGCAGTAAGAAACATAAATCATTTTTAAAATTGAAGGACTTGTTTTGTTACCATTTTGTTCTCTATATTCTTTTTGATAATCCAGAGCCCTCTCTTCCTGTTCAGAGGGGTGTAGCTTAAACAGAGGACGTGCCTTTCTGCTTTTTATGCCTAGTCTCTATGTTCTCCTAAGCAGAGCTTATGTTCAGACTCAGCTCTGTCCCCCAATCAGCTATTCTAGGAAAGGATTCACAAGTAAGTACAAAAATCCTCTTTTCTACTCTTAGGAGTTGTGTTAAAACTAGAGGTGCACCGAAATGACATTTTCAAAACCGAAACGAAACCAAAAATAAAAAAAATGTCAAACAGAAACCGAAAAATATTTTTTTTAATCTTTTCAATTTTTTTAAAATATTTGATTTATTTGTATTAAATATTTTTTTACTTTACTGTTGGGGCTTCAGGGAAATATTAGGGGTCTAAACAGATCCCTGATATTTTCTTGTTTAAATGGAAAAAGTCAGCTCTGATAGCTGACTCCTCCCCTTCACCGCCGGCCCGTCCTCCTTGACAGCTGACCGCTGTCTCCGCCCACACACTGATCTGTCACAGGAGGTTGAGTGGGTGGTGCAGGGAGAAGAGCTCGATCTCATCTGATAGCTGAATCCTCCCCCGCACCGCCAGCCCATCCTCCTGTGACAGCTGTCTCCGCCCACACACTGATCTGTCACAGGAGGTTGAGCGGGTGGTGTGGGAGGAGAGCTCAGCTTCCTGTGACAGCGCTCACAGCTGTCAGCGCCCACACACTGCTCTCCTAATCTGTCATAGGAGGCTGAGCGGTGCGGAAGGAAAGACGCCGCCCACTCACAGCGCTCTCCTCCCCCGCAATGCTCGGCCTCCTGTGACAGTTTCTCTCCTCCCCGCTGGAACACAGAGCAGCGCCCAGTGGGGAGGAGAGAAACCAGGGATGCACCACTATTTCAGCTGAAAGATGGCACTTTTGGCATTTTGCCAAAAGTGCCGTTTTTGACCACTATGTTTCAGCGGCCGAAATTTCGGTGAATCCCTAGTTAAAACTGTTCTTCTAAATCATCAGCAACAGCACAGGCACATGGTACCTTTTAAACATGGTGGTATGGCAACTATGTAAGTAAATAATTACAAGTGTTAATCTATCTGCACATATCCAGCCCATATGTTTATCTCTTCTCTTGTGTGTTCATTAGTTTACTACTTGTATAGATTGACAAAAAGATCTTATAGTTCCATCCATGAGAAATAGTCAGTTCTCTTGTTAAAATTAATCAGTTAACTTTTTTTTCATTTATTCAGATTCTTCACAAAAGTCATCCTTTTTCAAAGCATTGTACTTCTTCATCAGCCATCTTTCAATGAAGGACATCAGAGCAGCACAAACCTGCTTTACAATAGGCTCCAAATCCAATGATTTCAGCCCACATGAGATGGAACAGTACAACTACAGCAAATGCACAATTATAGTACGCATTATGGAGTTTGTAACCATGATCTTAGAGAACTGCCATCAGGATTTCTGGAAGGTAAACCTTATTGTTATTATATCAATATATTCTAAATTAATGTGAGTTAAAGTGAACCTGTCAATCATTTCAAATCTTTAAAATTCCTGCCCAGCATCAACTGCCGCCAGGTGCCTGCTATTACCTCCTGAAAAATCTCTTGTACACCTCTGGGATCCTGTTTTCACTTTGTAACTAAGGTTAAAGAATTCTTGTTTGTTCATATTTCTCTCTGGGGACCTGTCTTTTGTAGGGCTTGATTTTTTTTTTTTCTCTTAACCACCTTGTTTTTTTTAATCTAGTTTGCTCCCGTTCGGGCAATGTGTTTTGTTGTTTTGTTTTTTTTTACACCGGCTTTTGTTGGCTTTTTTTTTTTTTTTTTTGTTTTCCTGCAATTTTTTTTTTTTTTCGTTTGCTCTCCAGTCTCTCATTGGTTGGAATCCATTGTTGCTTTAGGTAGATGCTTTCCCTTGTCAGCGACTTTCTGTCCTGGTCTTGAGCATCAGGTTGCAGGTTGCTCCTCTGTACCCCCTCCCCTTGGTCAAGACAGTTCCCTCATCTAGCCTTGATTCCGCAGTTGGTCCTTCAGATACTTTTTTTTTTTTTCTTCAGATACTTTTTTTTTTTTTCTTCAGATACTTTTTAAATTCAGGTGGTTTCCAGATTCTTTTGGTCCACTGAGTGGCTGTTGCCAACCCCTCAGTTGTACTCTTTTTGAGATCCCCACTGTTTCTGAATTCCTTTTGTTCCACAATGGACGATGGAGAAAATAAGATTTTTGTACATTTTCTTGGCAGTCTATTGAGGCCCCTTTGTTTTTATAGGCCGTATGTCTGGCTGCTTACAAAACTGAGACATACAACTTTCCAACCTCCTGTAGGCACCACTATAACCTGATTCTTTATGAATTCCTGTGTCCCTAAATGGACTCAAAGAAAAGATTTTATGGCAAGTAAAAAAAAATCTCCTTGATCTGCTTTCAGAGTGATAGTGCTTACTCATAGGTAGGACTTCACTTTTAAAATGTCAGCATTACTAGTTTATCCTAAAGATAACTGCAGGATACACCCCTGGAGGTCAGGTTCAAAGGTAAGCACCTGGTGTTGACCTGTAGAGAGCTATGCATTAATATTGAATATTTAAAGCATATTTGTTTAATAAAGAAAAAAAAACCCTAAAGCAGTTCTATGACTATTTTTTTTGTTTACAAAATAGACGCTTGAAAAGGATCTGCTAAATAATTTTTTGTGGGAATTAACTGCAGTCACTGTATGTGATCCGTGTAGTATTGGGTTCAACACAGCAGACGTTCAAGTGATGAAGAACCTGCCTGATGTTTGCATACATTTACTGACAGCACTGGTGAAATCGCCGTATAAGAGACCCCTAGAGATGGCATTGCAGAAAAACGTAACACTTAAATGGTACAGTTTGAACTTGCTTTCTTAATATCATGTAATTTCTTTAAATATATTTGTATATTGCAGGAAAGGAAAGGTCTGGAGTGGGCCGGTAGGACTAAAGAGATCTAATGTTTGAGATCAATGCTGGCAGATTCCCTGGCTCACAGCTGAATGTAAACAAAGGGACAGGGAGGCTGCCTGATGTCATTACCCAGATATGTTCATTGCTATATTTGGGTAATGGCATCAGCCATTCATGACAGATTCCCAGCACAAACATGCCATTCTTTTTACTGCACAGTGACCTTACAGTGTAGTAAAGGCAGTGCATGTTTGGTTGTCTGTCTCTGTATGCCAACTTAGAGTTCATCTTAATTACCTCCAGTTTTGTTCTCTATGAGCTGGCGGTAAATTTTGTGAAAGTGACGCAAATATGAACTACCTGAATCTGTTGCATGTGTCAGAACAAAACTGATGCAAGGCTTTCATGAATTAGGCGCAGGTAATTTTAAAGGGAGAAAAGTGTTGCAAATATCTTATTGAATTCCAACTCTTATTTGCATGTATTTGAAAAATAATAAATATTTATATGCCATTTTCTTGTACTCTGTGTAGCATTGAAGACCTGTGCTCTCTTGAGTTGTATGATCCAGATGCCAAACATGACCGTATCAAGTTGGGTGCCACTCTTTCTGCTTGTAAGCAGCTTCAGAAGGCAGAGCTGCTGAATTCCACCTTGCAGACACAGGTGGGAATATTATTTATTTTTTATTTTACAAATGTGCATGCTCCAGAAACACAACTTCTGTTAAGATATTTTAGGCCTTGTTCATAACTGGGCGACAGCGTTTTCGCTGCACTACTTTGCTCGTGTTTACACCTGAGCAGATAGTGACACATTAGCGTAAATAGTCAAAAGCGTGTACCACGCACGCAAAAATGTGCAAAGTAATTTTGTCATTCGTTTTATATTGAGTCTATGGGGGACAAAACACGCTGTAATCTGCTAGAAAGAAGCTCATGTACTTCTGAGACCGGCGCAGCCGGGACGGATCCCGACATTACTGTCGAGATCCAACAAGCTGCGTGAATTATAGCTTGCTCTGCCTATCCAGAGGAAGAGCCAGCTGTACCCTCCCCCGTCCCACCAGTCAGCGCTGGCGGATCAGAGCGGGGAATCCAGCCCCTCCCCTGTCACGGCAGAGAGCCGTGACAGGATCGAGAGGTGAGCGAACGCCGGTATGTGTTCGCTCACCTCCCAATCTACTGAGACGACCTGTGACAGTCTCATTGTCACAGGTCGGCTAGAACTATGAGGTGAGTGAAAAGCACTCACCTCATAGTTCTCCTTTAAGCCATATCCCCACGCCTGTAGAGTAGAAACCATTATATGCTCATGCATGTGCATTGTGGACGGAGTATCCACACAGTAGTGACCGCTGCTACCGTGCCTCACCACTCTGCAGACCCCCAACTTTTAGGGGGGAAACAAATGGAATATGCTAAGTAAATTAGGTAAGTTAATTCTTGCTTTTCCAGTATTCATATGTAAAGTTTGTCATTACTATTCTTTCTAGGTTACAAGGCTCAGCTTTTCTGTTGGATCCAAACTTCTTTCCGTTGTGTATAAAGGTATTGCCCCTGGTGATGAGAGAAAGTCCCTTCCATCCCTAGACATCAGCAGTAAACGTCTTGCTGAGGGTATTCTACAACTGGCTTTTAGTTTCAGTGGACAGGTAACGCTGCAGAAGACTTTAAAATGTATCATGTTGTAGCTTGGAAATTTAGAAAAATCCATTTGATATCGCTGCTGTTCACAGATTACACACGTTGAAGGCTAACTGCATAATAATACACACCTGTAAATCACACATCTGTATATTATATACACTTTGTAAAGCCAAAATAAAACACCCCATGCTGTATTTGTCAATGGAAGGTAGAATTTTCTACACCTTTTGCAATTTGTATTTCTAAATCATACAGAGGATCTTTGTTCTGTCAGTATGATATTTGAACATTATTTTTCTTTATGAACACTTTTTTTTTCAGAGTGAAGAACTTGTAAGTCTCCTGCTGAACACAATGGTGTTGTCAGTACCTTTGTCAGGAAGTTCACAAAGAAGTTTCATTAACTTTTCTCATGGGGAATATTTCTACAGTTTGTTTTCTGAAACCATCAACACTCAACTTTTAAAAAATCTGGATGCTGTAGTTGTACATCTGCTGAAATCCTCTACAGAAAATCCTAAAATGGTAGTATGAACTTATCTATAATTTCTATTATCCATCTAAAACCAAGAGTTAGCACTATTAATATCACATATGAGCCACATTGTAAACCTATGGTGTCTTCTTGCCTCCTGCTTTCAAGACCTGTAAAGGAAGTGTGTTTTTGTTCCCATGTTTGGCCACTTTACCTTTTCAAAGTGTCAGAGATTAGTAGGTCTGAACCAAGAAAAGTTGGTTCCTTTAGTTAAGTTGGGTTTCTATTGTAATACATGTTTGCTCCTAAGGCTGGCTTTACACCTTTGGCCTGTCACCGCAACGCACTGTGCCGTACTTTACATGTGATGTGTGCTGCAGTGCTACTCATTCTGAAGCATAAGGCAGCGGATTTGCAGCACAGTTTATGGTAACTCACTACTGCTCATTGCGTTTCGAAGAGGCAGGTCCGCTTTCCAGTGCACTGAAGTGGGTTGGCAAGCCCATTCAAAACGAATAGATTGCCTTGCACCACAAAGGTGTTAAGGGACCTTTTGAGATGGAAGAACACACACTAGACATAGTAGTCATAGCATTATACTCAAGTTAACTAACACATACTGCCACTGCTATATTTAGCCTGGCCGAGGAGGTAAACTATTTATTTTCTCTTGATTTTCAGAGATCCTGCTGAGAATTCCCATGGTTGCATTCTTGCCACAGCATATATGACAGTTTCTTATGTATTTCATGTTCTGAACTTGCAACATTTTATGGTTAACACTTAGACTAATATTCATTTCTTCTTTTCTTACCAAGGTAAGCACCATCTTGAATGGCATGCTCGATCAAAGTTTTAGACAACGTGCAGTCCGAAAACAACAAGGTGTTGCTTTGGTAAATGCTGTACTACAAAACTGGCTGAAGCTAGAGAGCTGGTGGGACAAAGATTCATCACCTGAGAGCAAAATGGCAGTGCTGACATTACTTGCTAAAGTACTACAGGTACCTTTTTATTTATTTTTATTTATTGTGTAATGATTGCTTATTACGCGTTTATTTCCAACAGGTATGCTTGCTGTATGATTCATTTTAGCATTGCTTTAATTAGGGATGCACCGATGCCAATACCGAGTGTTTTGGTGAGTGCTTGTACTTGCCCAAATGCTCCGATACCTTCCCCGATACCAGAACTTCCGGTTAGAGGAAGATTTCCTCTGGCCGGCATTGCCGGTGGGGAACATAGAGCTGGCTTCCTGGGCAATCAGGAAGTCGGGCGGCATGTAATGACCCGCTTCCTGATTACCAAGGAAGCCGGCTTCATGCTGATTGGCTGGGAAGTCGGTTTCCTGGCCAAACATGGAGCCGGCTTCCCGGGAAATTAGGAACCCACCCGGCTTCCTGATTGCCCGGGAAGCCGGCTCCATGCCAGCAGGAGGAACGGTATCGGCAAGTACCTACAGCGAAATATCTGTACTCGTGCTCGATCCTGGAACACTGGTATCGGTGCATCCCTAGCTTTAATGTTATACATTTACAAGCCGCAGAGTTAATTTTGTCAAAATTTTCTGAGCCGGGTCTGTGCATGGGCAGTACTACCATCTATTCAGTCCTAGGGAGAGTTTGCATTCTGTTGCAGCAACATAGGATTTAATGGAGAGCGCAGAGAGCATGCATGGGCCAAACTCAGAGGTTTTTGACAAGCTGGTGTGCAGCCTTGTCAGCAATACAAGGCCATACACTAGTAATATTTTTAACAGTGGGTACCCCTGCCAGCACCACCCCCCGGCTTGACAAACTTTGATTTAAAAAAAATCCAAGGAGCTGGATGAAAAATGGTCGGCCAAACAGTGACTGCAGCCCCTGTTTGTGTATATTGACAGGCGTAGGCACTGGCTGTCAGAATGCAAATGTTGACGTGAAATTCATCCATCTGCACTGATCTATAGAGAATACCTGTGTCATTGCCTTGCACTAGGGGCCTATTTGCTTTACTGATATGCGGGTGCAACATGTTTGTACATACTAACCTAGTGGCTCATACTCCCTAGTGGTTGTTTGTGCTTCCTCTTCAGCGTTTAGTGGCAGAGAGCGCCCATTCAAGACCACAGGATAATCACTTGCCTATGGTGCCACCTTCAATTGTTTCTTATCTCCCACGTGCTACTGCACAGGACAGTGCACCTTCCTTGTTTTTACTGGTTTCCTCTCACCCCTGCACCCCTTGTCCCATCTGGACCTACACACCCTTCCTTAGGAAGATCCTTTGTCCTCGGGACATGAGAAGCTCCTAATGGTACCTCTCAGCATCCATCTTCACTAGGGGGGGCTCCCTGACCTACAGGGTTGACTGCTCTAGCTGTCTCCTGCTTGAATATGGACCTTGATCCTAAGTGTCACCTGGGCACACCTGCTACTTCATCAGCCCTTGTGTTCAGTCTAGTCCCCATTGTGTGATGCTCAGACAACCTTCCGTACAGAGAGTCAGCTTTGTGGATCTTTTGTAATCAGCACTTTTCCCAACTTCTCCTAGATCTGAGCAGATCTGGTTTGCATGGTTTTAGTGTTGGTGGCTGTCACCGGTGGGTGAGGCAGATTCGCTAAAGTCCTCTCTAAAAGGGCTGACACCTTGTGTACCTTTAGATCCCTTATCATCTTGTATTTGTTAGTATCTGTATTGTGGAAAATGTGAATTTTGGGGGGGTTTTTTGTTTGTAAAAATTTTATGTAAAATACATAAAGGAGAATAGTTCTAAGCCGACAAACCCCCAAAATTCAAATTTTCCACAATACAGATACTAACAAATACAAGGTGATAAGGGATCTAAAGGTACACAAGGTGTCAGCCCTTTTAGAGAGGACTTTAGCGAATCTGCCTCACCCACCGGTGACAGCCACCAACACTAAAACCATGCAAACCAGATCTGCTCAGATCTAGGAGAAGTTGGGAAAAGTGCTGATTACAAAAGATCCACAAAGCTGACTCTCTGTACGGAAGGTTGTCTGAGCATCACACAATGGGGACTAGACTGAACACAAGGGCTGATGAAGTAGCAGGTGTGCCCAGGTGACACTTAGGATCAAGGTCCATATTCAAGCAGGAGACAGCTAGAGCAGTCAACCCTGTAGGTCAGGGAGCCCCCCCTAGTGAAGATGGAAGCTGGCAGATCGAAGCTGTAGCTCGCGGTATACTGAGCTTACTGTAACGGGAGGACGCTAGTTTGTGTCCTCCCGTTGCCCTAAGGAGAACTATGGGGAAAAACACTGACCCCATTGTTCTCCTTTAATAAAAATATTGAAATAATTGATCCAGAAGATCTGAGAGGGCTTGATAGGGAAAAAAAAACGCCAATCTGCGGGATCGCACAGGAAGTTTGGAGGTAGGAAAAACGTAGGTAGCAGAGAGCAAGACTCCAGATTGCAGCCCTGGAATACCATTAGATGCAACGAAGTATCTGATATGTAAGTTATTCAGATGACCTACACACTGGAAATTGGGGGCTCAACTGCTAGCTGAGGAATGCATTTTGGCAGACTTTGCCATTTTGGCAGACTTTGAGTGCAAGACCTAGAGGGCGAACTAGGAACTGGGTGCAAGGGTCTCAATGAGGACGTGAAGAAGAAAACACAAATGTTTCTTAATAGGGCTGCGACTAAAGATTCTTTTCTTAACCAATAAGTTGGCCAATTATTTGTTCGATTCATCTGATAAAAATAAATACCATCTTTTATTTAAAATAAAATAGACAAATGCAGTGTTACAAACATATTGTTTATTTTAGAATAAAACTGCATGCACCGTTTTTTGTAATCACACTGCACTGGAAGGCAGGTTCCAGTACACGTTCCAGAGCGGGCGATCACACTGTGGGCGGGATGCTCGTTTGGGGTGCCACTGAAATGAATTGCAATAGCAGGCTGGCTATTGCACCCTCCCTCTGCCTGCTGTCAATCAAAACTGAGTAGCCAGGGAAGAGGAGGAGGAAAAGGGGGGAAAAACACAAAAAAAATTTCCCAGCAAGCCTGAGCAGAAATAGAGGAGAGTTTCACTTGTGGCCAGCTTATGAAGTACAGTTTATAAAGTATAACAAGCACAGGTCACCATAGCAACACTCTGAGACCCTGTAATGTACAAGGCCCCTTGTGACTGAAGGAACCAGAAACATCAGTAACACCAATGTACAGTAAAAATGTCAGGTTTCTGAAGGAAACATGTCCACTCTCCTAAAGACACTACCAAAACTGAGTCATGATGTTATCCTGTGCTGACTACTGACTGTTTTCTTGCCAGTGTCCATTTCATGTGTAGGCGGCAGTATAACCTGACAGTATAAGAATTCCTGTGTCCCTCAATGGACTATAAAGAAGTCCAATTTTGTCTTTGTAGTATCCTTTGCCTTTATTTTCCCAGCATGCTACTTTTTTTGCAGGAGTGGCTTCAGTGTTCTCCTAGATATAAGTAACACTGCTTTCACTATATATAAATATGTTTTTTCTGACATTTCTCATAGATACAGCTGTGTATAGCTTAAAACATAACTCTGCTTACCCTGTTTATATCTATACAAACATAATTATGTAACCAGAGGCATATCTACTGCAAGGCATTTGTCTTGGGTGGCACTTTCCCTTGCTGTGCTTGTGTGTTAGTGGGGGGGACACACAGTTTACTAGCACACTCAAGGGTGGCTTCATAGGACCCTGCAAGGGAAATGAGCCATCCTAAAACAGGATATTAAGACCAGTGGTCAGGGGGTCAGCTGATTCTGCAGGAAACAAAATCTTTTAAACATCAAGGAGCAGCATCCATTGATTTAATCAGCATTTTAAATAGCTTAATAACATTGTCAAGTTGTAAATGCTTTTTTTCTTCCTCATTTTTTTTTACACCCATACTATGGACAGGTTAGGAGGATGGCTCTTTGGAGAGAGTTTCCCTCGCTTCCTATCTATTTGAAGGCTATAACACAGAAGGACGTAATTGGAAACAACCAGCAGTTAAACATAAGGGAAGGTTCTAACCCTTACCCACTATAAGAGTTTAAAAAATACATTCTTTATCTGGAGTTGGCCTATACAAGGGCGTGTTTAAAGATCTGAACGGTTTTTATCTGGAGTTTTCTGTAGTTCTTTGTAAATATTTACAGTATAAATCATCTTTTCCTATGTTTTCTTTCAGATTGATTCTTCTGTGTCTTTTGATACAAGTCACCCAGCTTTCAGCAATGTGTTTAAGACTTACACAAGTCTTCTCACAGATCAAAAACTTGGTCTTAATTTGAAGGTATGCCTTACATTTGTCTTCTCTCTCTATTCCAGGTAATTAGTTGATGACATCATAATACAGTGGTGTTGTGTTTCTCTGTATTGGCACCACACATATTCAGTACATGAAATATTTTGTAATTATTTAGTGTTTTTGTGTATTTGTTTTGGAGATGTCTAATCTTACAATAATTTCCCAGTAGATTGGGATGAAAATAGTATTCAATAGAAACCCGGGTCATCTGCTAACTATCATTTGTCTTTTGTTTTTGTGGAATCTTTTGCAACCAAACCAATGCATCCAGTGGAAACATTGGTAATATTCGCCACTCAGTGGTTATGAACAATTTGTACATTTAGTGGTTAACTAAGTTGTGAATACTAGACAAACTCAGAGCTATTTCAGTATACATGAAAATAATTAGGCAGATTGTCTTCTGTATAATTTTAACCATAGAACTTTGAAACATTGTTTGCTTTAATTATGTTTTGCCTGCTATAAGAACAGTTTCACAGTCCTGATTTAAATGTTGGTTCAGTACAGCGATAGGTAGGACAAGACATTTTAGTGTGTTGAATTTGTTACTCACCTTTTGCATAAATAGCAATAAAACTAATTGTATAACCTTTTGTGTTGATGCTTTAACAGTTACTTGTGTATTTGATTGTATTTATTTTTATGTAACATATTCATTATTTTTTGTTTTATAGAGTCAGACTATTATAATTCTTCCTTTCTTTACCAACCTCAAAGATGAAAGACTTGAGGAGTTAAAAAATACACTTGAGCAGTTTGTTGCCTTTAATTTTCCAATGAGATCTGATGAGTTTCCTAAAGGCACCTTACGGTACAATAATTATGTGGACACGGTGAAGAAGGTAAGAAATGTTTGTTAAACTCTCTGCAGGAAAAATAATACATGTGACCAGAGTTGTAAGGCTGCTGAAAACTGTTTGTAAAGAACTCCTGCCTATAGCTGAAGTGATGCACAGGAAGTCATATTGGCAGCTGATTTGTCTTTGTATCACTCAAACTGTATTTTTTATGAGTTATATCAATTCAAACATGCGATCCTTGATTTAAAGCAATGAGTGTTGCATTATGCATAAGAAATAATGTGTCTTGTAGGGGAGCACTGGGAAAGTATAAATGTCTTTAATATCTGACATATTTTAAATTACCATGTTCTGGTAGCAGTTTTGCTGGCATCTTGCTTTCCAAATCTACTATAATTATTAATCCCTATTCATTGGTAGAAAATCTGTTGCTCACACCATGTCTGCTGAGCTGTGTTTTTTTTTTTTTGCACACCACTGCACATGTATGGTGTGAACTGGGCACATTTAAAACATTTATTCTCAGTGTGCCCTGTTCACACCATACATGTGCAGCAGTGTACAGAAAAACACAGCCCAACGATCTTGCTATGAACAAGCCCTTATCCTTTTTCATTGTTTCTCTCCGCAGTCAGATTTCAACTCCTTTTTGTTTTTTCTTTTGTGACAGCTCATTAAATGACAGCAATCATTTTGGTAATTGTTATAGGCAATGCTTTTCTCTGTTTCAGTTCTGTCCTGTGACATGATACAAAATAGACACATTCTGTGTGATATGCACAAAATAGTGTACATGTGTATTAGGTACATGAAGGATTTTCAATAATTGAAACATGTGCTAACAAATTACTAAAGTTGTAAATGGTTAGCTAAAGGAAGATGTCTGAGAAGAGTTCTACTATGGCCAGAAATGGGTACAAACATTGATCTCTTGCGTGCTGAAAGCATTGACTCTAGATTTCAGTGCAGAAAGCAGTAATTTATGACTTAAAAAGTGGGACATAGTATCTGTCATTTGTGGGAGTAGCACGGGTATACACAAAACACACTTATGCTCCCTGGGAGCACAGCGTTACCCGATGACCAGTCCTTTATTGTGTTATGCCAATAGTGTATCAGATCTCAAGGCATAACATTTGTGATTGTAATGGAAAGGGTGTAACATATGTCCACTGTTTCAGTTCTTGGATGCACTGGAGCTGTCCCGAAATCCACTGCTCTTGCAGCTCATGGCAGAAATTCTTTGTCGTGACAGCAAACATATCATGGAAGAATTGTTTCAGAAAAGCTTCAAAGCAGTTATTCTGAGGTAAGTGTTGTATGAAGACCTGCATATTATTTGAATGAATATTAGCAAAAATGTTATCCTGCTTTATATAATCTCCATCTGAAGCCATCAAATGTTAGAGATTGTAATAAATTCCATACTAGATTGATGACTAAATGGTTCATAAATGATTTTTTTAATATAGATGTGTGTAGGTCCCAAAAGCTTGGAGTGTTTAGCCCCTTCACTTCGCCATACTCAAAACAATTGTTTTTAGGGAAGCACAGTTGAGCTGCTTTCCAGCACCTTGATTAACGTATTGTCCTTAAGTTGTTGTAGTAGTTTCTTATCACTTGGAAGATTACTAAATGTAGGCCTTCATTATGAAGAAAACCGCAACAGTTACATGCATGGGCTACTGAACTGAGAACAAAAATAGAGAAATTGCATGAGTAGTGCACTGATCTATTGCCAGGATTAAAAGAGAACTATGGGGTAAGGGTTTTTCCCCTGTAGTTCTCTTAAGGGTCACGGAAGGGTCACTGCTCTCTGCAGGGAGATGATCGAGAAGTAAGCGAGCTACGGTATGTGTTTGCTTCGATCTATTGAGCTGACGTGACAGTTTCATCGTCACATGTCGGCTCGAACTATGAGGATGGGTGATTTTCACTCGCCTCATAGTTCTCCTTTAAGTTCTTGCACCAAAACTCAGGAACAAGGTTTTATGAAATCTGGAGAAAAATTGAGTTCCCTGCTTTCAATTGAAATAGAAATCCTATTAGGCAACACCCCCTTTTTCCTCCAGTTTTTTTTTTCATAACCAACCCTTATGTCTCCACATGTACAGATGTAACTGAGGGTGTATTTGCTTGCAGCAAAATCGGAGATAGAGAAAACAATTCTAAAAGGTTTTCATTCCAAACAAAGCACTTCAAAAATATTTTATTTTTAAGGGGCAATTCTGATGAACAAGTCATCCTGATGAATACTTTGCACAGCATGTTTACCAGTGAAAATCTTCTGTCAAATACAACCAGGCAGGCTATAATTGACCGATGCCTTCTGACTCTCCTGTGGAAATGCAGCCTTGATTCTTTGAAAGAGTTCTTCTGCAAAATCGTTACTCTATCAGTGGATACTCTCAAAGGCAGATTAATCAAGGTAAATGTTCTTACACTATACCAAGTTGTTTTTAAGTTTTTCTCTTCATCCTTTGTTAACAAAACTGCACACCTTACTTATATCCCTAATATGTACTCTTATATAAAGCAATCACTTCAGCCTTATTAATGTTTTTTTCATAAAAGAACAATTTAGGATCATGTAGATAATTACAAACTTCTTGTTGCAATCACTTTTTAGGCAGGAGTTTTAGTTTTAAAGCATACAGCCTGAAGATCATTAATGCTGAAACTTTTTTCAGTTTTGAGGTAATATAAATCTCCCATACAAAATCGTATTTGTATGTTTATGGTTACAGACATCAGAAGCATTATTTGAAACACAGCTTACCAAGAAATTGGGATATTATAAAATGCTGGAAGTTCTTTATTCCCGTCTCTCCAGAGATGATATTTATTCCAAACAATCCGGAATAAATCATGCTTTTGAAGGATCATCTAATGTAGAAGGAAATCAACTCACTAAGACTCTAATCAAGTAAGTTCTGTAAAAAATATAACTTATATGTTGCTGCATGACATGGGTGTGTGCCAAGGATACAGAGCTCTTGATTGTCGCCCTATTATGTCAATGTGGCTGTTGGTAATCTAATGGCTGTGAGTATGAAGGTGTTTTTTTTTCCCCCTGGGTGTTACACACTGGCCATACTTTGCACACTCATTAATCCCCACACAACGTGTAGAGGACATGATTATGCTTAGAAGTAGTACTGTTAGTTTATGGGAGTGTGCCAGAGGCTGCACCAAAAAGTTTCCCCTGCAGCCCTAAATAGGTTGTCCGTGGGGAGCCTGCAATGCATTTATTTGGTAATTCAGTGGCTATCCCAAGTAAGAATACATTACAACTGCTATTGGCAGCCACAATTTTAAACTTTAGGTAGATTAAATAAGCCACAAATCAACTTTAAAAAAATGAACAGTGTTAAATATATAGTAACTTTTTTTTCTTTATACTCCCAAGATTGTGCTATGATGCATATACTGAGAACATGAGTGGTGAAAGCCAGCTCCTGGAGAAGAGGCGAGAATATCACTGTGCTGCATATAACTGTGCTATGGCAGTTGTGGCCTGCACTCAGACTGACAATAAATTCTACCAGGCGTTTCTTTTCTCAGAAAAAAAGGAAAAGGTAAACAGAATTAAGCGTATCCTTGATTGCACATTTTGAACATTTCAAATAAAACCCATACTCTATTTCTTTTATCTGCACATTTGATGGATCATAGAGGATTGGGAGGGGTGGGTGGGGGTTGAGAAACAGTACCTCGTCATAGTAAAACAATGATGTTTGTGCTTGCTGCTGCTATATAAATCTTGGACACACCCATGCCCATTATTTCCTGCTTTTGCTGTGAATGTAGTACAAGCACCTTTTTTTTTTGCCATGGTTTGCTATATTTTTCCATTGACATTAGGTGTATAATGAGGAGGATGATCATTCTACTGGATGATCATTCTATGGTACCCGTGGCTGAATTGGATGTGTTCACTGTTCGGCCAATACATTTTCACCCCACTTATGGAGCCCAGTGGTGCTTGCAGAGCCACCTGCTTCTCAAATTTCACCCAATTTAGCATGATTTGGCCTAAATGTTAGCTGTCTATGGCCAGCATTAGACCACTCGCATGTCTGTCTCTCTAACTAATACTGCCTCTAACTAGCACAGTCAGTGGGTGGCACTGTTTCCTTGGAGCTTTTGTTTCTTTTTTTTTTTTACAATTTTCCAAATTTTAAAGAAAACAATGCTCAGTTCTTTAGTTCTCTTTTGGTAAATGTCCTCCTGTAACCCAAAACTCAGCATATATAGTGGGCTAATGCCCGTACTGCAGTCAGCAAGGATCCCGACAATATTGTAGGGATCCACCCCGATACCTGACTGACATCTGGCTCTGCCCCCTCTCTGTCTGTCCCTCCAGTCTGCGCTGGATGAATACAGAAGGGAGGGGGGAATCCCTGCAGGGAGAAATGACTGACAGTCATCGCTCTCTGCAGGGAGACGATTGTGAACTGAGCGATCAGCAGTTTCTGAGTGCTCAGTTCTTGATATATAGAGTCGAAGTGTGACACCTGCAGTGTCACACATCGGCTCTAACTACAGGGGTGAGTGTATTTCATTCTTCCTATAGTTTTCCGTTAACCAGTTGCCGTCCGCCCGTTGCAAAAAAACGGACGGACAGCACAGTCGCATTGGCGGGTTGCCGTCTCCAGGCGGCATTTTTTTTCTGCTCGCGTGCGCCCCCGGGCAGATCCACTGCCCCATCTGCAGCCTGGGACCGGCTCGGGAGGGTGTCAGGAGGTAAGATGGGAGGGAGATCAGCATCTTCCTCCTTGCTGATCTCCCACCGTACTGTGAATGCAGAAGTGATGTGTATAACATCACTTCCGCATTCACCTGTCAGTCATCTGGCTGCTATAGCAAGAGAGAAGAAGCTGATGAAGCAGATCTCTGCACCGCGGACTTGAACTGGTTAAGAAATTTGTCACCGTAACAATATCATAGAAAAGGTGATTGTATTAGGAATTTGAAGATTATCACTTTAAGATTGTATTTTGGCTCATGTTTTTTTCACATTTTGTTTTTATGTTTGTTTTTAAGAATGTGCTCATATTTGAAAACATAATAGACCTTCACCGACAGTACTCTTTTCCTATAGAAGTTGAGGTAAGTGCCCATGAAAAAAAAAAATCACTAATTCATGTACGTATATAACCTTAAAATAAAACTAGGCATGTTTTTAAAAACAACCAGTTTAAGTGCCAGACTTTGGCTTGGTACAGGCCTCTTTCAATCCCTGTACAACTATGAGCGGCTGAGGCAGCATTAGGGGGTCTGTCAGATGTGCTGCAGCACATAAGTATGCTGGCTTGAAGCATTCTGATAGCGAGAGAGCAGACTGACAAAGATGAGCTAATCTGCTGTTTCCCCTTCACAGCCCATTCACAGATTGGGGGCAGGGAGGAAAGCTAGTTGTATTACTTTACTGCAATGGAAAACAAGTCAGGGCACCAACCTGGCTCTGCTGTCTGGCAGAACCGAGTTTATCTCAAGAATGAATTGGCAGAAATACAAATCCTTTGGCAGGTAAAACAGCTCTCAGAAATGTACTTGTTTAGCTGTTTGCCTGCCATTTATGTTTATTATGAACAGAGGATATTATGAACAGAGGAAACTTTGTCAAATATATAATTGAGCTGAATATTTCCCACAGAGCAGCATTTCATACGCACAGATATTAGATATAAATACTACCTGGACACCTTTTTGACACTCGCTGGTAAGCAGTAGATATATGCCCCAAAAAAAGGTTTGCAAATACCAACTATCTTACCTGTGTCAGCGCCGCTTGCTCCCGGCTGCAGAACTCCCAGCTCCCGAACGTTGTGAAAGGAGGAAGTGTGTGCGGGCGCATGCGCAGTCCAGATCACCAGAGGGGAGAGGAGGAGAGCAACACTGACACTGAATGGAGGCACCTGGGAGCGTGCACGTCGCACAGACTCCGCGGGACACATAAGTTAAGTCCTTACAGCAGCATTGGGGAAGGGGGACGACGATTATGCCTTTAATGTCACTTTAACTGTTGAGAGAAGTCTGTTTTAAATAGTATAATACGTCTGTGAAATTTTATGTAGAATTCATGCAACGTGAAAAAGTCTTTAATTTATTGTTCATTTTGGGGTGTTTTGATTATTTTTCACTCTGTGCTGTAGGTGCCAATGGAACGAAGGAAAAGGTACTTTACTATACGCAAGGAAGCAAGAGAAGCTACAAATGCAGATTCTGGTATAGTTATTACTTTCAATTGATTACCTTTTGAAAGTTGTGGGAAAGGGTATATTTTTAGTACATCTGCCGCCTAGATTCCCTGCAGCCATGGATGTTCATTATAGGATTACAAAAAGTCTTTACAGATGCAGGGAGCACAAGCTGTTGACAGTCTTTTCTTTTTTTTATCGTGTATATGGTTGTATATATTTTTTATATGAAATCCCTTATCTTTTAGATAAGGAGTGTAGGTACTCTCACAGTGGAAACAAGTACTTTTGTAATATTTTTTCCTTTTTAATATTTTGTCCCTTTCTCCTAAAGCAAACCCGTTTTTTGCCCATTCAGTTAAAAGCAGCTGCTTTGCTTTATCCCCCACCCTCCACAGCATCTACTCGCCTTTCCTTTAGTTCTCTGCTGCTCCAGTTAGCACCTGCAGCTTCAAGAAATACCTGGTATGTGTGGACATTGAGAAGCATGTGACTCACTCCATGTGACAGCGCTCCCCCCTTCAGTTCTCACTATATACAACCTTGCCTTCTGCTCCCGTTTCACAGTACTCCCAAATCCCTCCCATTTTATTTGGTATACATCTGTAGTCTTCCTTCCTCTTAGATTGTAAGCTTGTTTGGGTAGGGTACTCCTTACCTACTTCTTCTGTATGCCAATGATGCTTGTAAGTGTTACTTGTCTTGTCTAAACAATTGTACAGCGCTGCGGAATATGTTAGAACTGTATAAATAATTGTAATTATACCATTCAGTGCTGTCATAAGGAGAGTCCATATCTTTGTGTAAGCTAGGACTATAAGAGCCAAGAAAGGTATATATCTGTATATACTGCAGTAGAGGGTAGTATAAAAGTGCACCTGTTGCTTTGTTCTGCATGGAGAGCAGAGTGAATTTTCATTTTTTTCTAAATAGTTTAGGAGCTGATCTATATGAATCAGTTTTTTAACTACCTCCCTGCCAGCCGCTGTGTATACACGGCCTGCCGGGAGCTTCTTGGATGTAACTGGGCGTGTATACACCGTGCGGGGCGCGTGAGCGGGAAATCCCCGCTATTTGAAAAGAGGCAGCGATGCCCGTTAATATACAAGCGATCCGCCGGCTAATCTAAACACCTGGTCTTCAAGCAGTTAATAACAGTTGCACATCACCTAATGTAACTTAATCGCTGATTATTTTTGTATAGCAGTACTGAAAATGGATAAATGTCTATTGAAAGAAAAATAGTATCATTCAGTATATCAATATGTGTTGGTATAGAAGTTGATGCTGTAAAATATGATGTGTCAATTTCTCTTCCTTTCCCTCTAAAGATGAGCCCCAGTACTTATCTTCACAGTCATATATGGCAGATAGCAGCCTGAGTGAAGAAATGAGCCAGTTTGATTTCTCTACTGGAGTCCAGAGTTTTTCCTACAGTTCACAGGATCCAATTAAATCTCAGAGACGTAACAGAAGGAAGGTACAAATGAATATATAATGAAATGATTTAGGGAAGGGCTTAACCTAACATTTCCTTTGATACATTATATATTGAAAGTTTTAGATATCACAAAGGAGATGGATCAAAATGTATTCAGTTTTTTGGGGAACCTCTGTCATGCTGATTTTAGTTCTGAGCTTTTTTATATAGTATTTAGCATAGTATTGCATGAATGGCTCTTCCTATGGATGCCTAAACTGCCACATAAACTTCCCACAACCTGTTCCTTCCTAAAATTCCCGAAAGTGCGACTACCACTTTAATGTAACATACCGCATAGCTCTTCAAATTGAACAATTGTACATTGTCAGTTTCATGGGAAGATATTACATTAATGTATGCGCTATACTCTCATATGCATGCTTTGTTGTAGATTGTTAGGGTTCCTTAGGAAAGTGACTCTAAAGGCACTCAAACCCACGCCTCCAGGTAGGACTTAAGATTTCCCGGGATTCGATCGTGCTGCCTTCTTCAGACAAGTACTTGGGAATAAAGAGTCCCACCAAATTGTGTATTCACTCTATATAAGGTTATATGTGAAACTAAAAGGGGGGTCGCGGAGCACAGACCAATAAAATTCAGACATTAACTATATATAACCCAGAAACAGGCAAATTAAATGAATCACCCTTTCAATCTAGTCTGATAATTTGACAAATAAATCGTAACATTTTGTCTTTTTAGGAACTAAGCTCAGAAGCTCAGGCATCAGATGATGTCATGGAGTTTGAAATGGATGAACTGAATCTGCATGAATGTATGACATCTATGTCTGGACTGATTAAACACATGCAGCAAAATGCAATCACACCAAAAGTTGAGGAGGTTTGTATGCCTATCTAAACGTACATTTTAAAATCGCTTCCAATTGCTCCTGCTTTATTTTGTTGCCTGTTTGCAGGGAGTCGCTCCAGAAGACCTGCCCCCATGGATGAAATATTTGCATACCAAGCTTGGAAATCCATCCACCCCACTGAACATTCGTCTTTTTATTTCTAAGCTTATCGTGAACAATGAAGAGGTAGGCTACTTTCACTTTTTTACATTTTTATATCTTTAACACTTTTATGTGGCAGAGAACCATGGGAAGACAGCTGTATGTCCCTAAGCAATACTAGATTGCATGGTTGCATAATATAATGGTTGTGTTTAGGGCATGCGTAATGCAATACGTTTGCATTTATGAAATCATTGGGTAACCAATATGCATAAAATTGAATTTTATGATACCAGCAACTACCTGTCAAATAACAGTCTTTGTAAATTTAGGTTTTTCGACCCTATGCAAAGTTTTGGATTAGCCCCTTATTGCAGCTGATTGTGTCTGGAAACAATGGTGGAAAAGGGATTCATTACATGGTGGTAGAGACAGTTGTGACCCTTCTGTCTTGGTCGAGCTTTGCAACACCAACAGTAAGTAAATTCATGCAATAGTTTGCAATGATTCTGAACCTTAAAAGATGTTTCCAAGACTTACTTTTTATTATTTTAGACTCTATGCACAGTAAAGGTCATGTATGATGCTGTTTTGTTTGTTTCTTAGGGGCTTGCAAAGGATGAGATCCTGGCTAACAGATTGCTTGAATTCTTGATGACACATGCGTTTCATGAAAAGAAAGCAGTGTACAGGCACAACCTCGAGATCATTAAAACAGTCCTGGAATGCTGGAAGGATTGTCTTTCTATTCCATACAAGTATGTGTGGAAAGTTTTCGCACATTTAATTCTATTTGCCTCATAGTTTAAAAGTAGTTTTGAAAAGTTATTTTACATTTAATGTATTCTGTGTGATTTTAACAGGTTAATATACAGTGGTTTTTCTGGCACTGACCCCAACAAGAAAGATAACTCTGTGGGAATTCAGTTATTAGGTTTAGCTGTGGCTAATAACTTTCCTCCATATGACCCAAAATGTGAAATCGATTATGACCGGTGAGTTATGTATGTCCTAATGGAGATATTGCACTGATGGTTTAAAATGTAGTCCTTTCATGAGATGTTATGCCTAATCTACTGGCCAGTATTTAGGAAAGTCATTGTTTAATAATGGTCTCTCCTCTCTAGGTACTTTAAAGCACTAATCAACAATCTAACATTTACAAGATTTAAAGAGGTTTATGCGGCAGCGGCAGAAGTCCTGGGACATGTCCTTCGTTACATTGCTGAGAAAGAGAAAGTATGTGTACTAGTTTAACACAGAATTAGAGGTGCTTATATTCCTTAACTCAGGGATAACTAAAAGTCACATTAAACTTACGAGTTAAATCTTAAAAATACATTCAAGTCCCTTAACTATTAAGCAAAATGTAACCTGAATAGAGTGCTAGAAGCAGTTTTTTTATGCTATTGATATTAGGAACTTATGATAACATACTGAAAAACTGGAACATAATTGTGTTCTGTAGTTGCTCAAAATACTAATTTGCAACATATGTCCATCTATGTACATTTAAGACCGAGGCACTGACATGAATGAATACTTCCCAGGGTTTCCCTTTGCATCATGCAGTTTTAAACCTTAAATACAAAATAAATATTTTACTGGCATTAGTCATAATTTTCATTTATTTTATTACAAGAGCATAGAAGGCCCTGTGTTTGACTACGTGGTGGAAAAACTAAAACAGCATCATGCAAGCAATAAAGAAGACAAGTTCATAATGTGTTTGAACAAAGTAGTGAAGAATTTCCCCATATTTGCTGACAGGTAAGGCGTTTTACTTACTACAGAAGTCTAATATGATACCGGACTGGTTACATTTCTTGTTTTTTACAGGTTTATGGCCATTGTTCTTTTCTTGCTACCAAAACTTCACGGAGTTCTGAAGACACAGTGTCTGGAGATAATAATGTTCAGGGCTGAAGAAATACCAGACCTTTATATTGAGCTAAAAAATAAAGACTTCAAACAGATTATGAGCAACCGGTGAGAGAGATTAGATTCTATTACAACCTTCTGTATTCGGTCCTGCATTGTGAAATTTTCTTGACAGAAGTATCTCTACAGGATGGGAATGATTGTCTGCATGTGACGGCTATAAAAATAATTTCTGTGGGTTTTTACTATTTGTCTTATCACTTACTTAAACATATGTATATATCTACCTGCTTATATTGCATGCACACTTCGGCAAGGAGGCATCAGTGTTCCATCTATCAATATGGGTGCTTTGTCGCACCCATATTGATGTTGCAATATGGGTGCTGAGACGCCGCAGTATGGCTCGCGGTATACTGAGACGCTGAAGCGGATCCCGGCACAATTGTGCAGCGTGACTGACAGCTGGCTCTGCCTATCTAGAGGCAGAGCCAGCTGTGCCCCCCCCCCCCCCCCCCCCGCCAGTCAGCGCTGGCGGATCGGAGGGGGGAATCCAGCCCCTCCGCTGTCACGGCAGAGAGCTGTGACAGAATCTAGAGGTGAGCGAACGCCGGTATGTGTTCGCTCACCTCCCGATCTACTGAGCCGACCTGTGACAGTCTCATTGTCACAGGTCGGCTAGAACTATGAGGTGAGTGAAAAGCACTCACCTCATAGTTCTCCTTTAAGCCATATCACCACGCGTGTAGAGAAGAAATCATTATATGCATGTGCATTGTGGATGGAGTATCCACACAGTAGTGACCGCTGCTACCGTGCCTCACCACTCTGCAGACCCCCAACTTTTAACACTCTGATCTGCACTCTGTCATCCTGGGCACATTTGCTTACAACTCTGCTGCATGCCTTCTTCAGCACTTATTACTCGACTTTGCCACACACACACTTTCCCTCACTTCCTCACTACTCTTCCCTGTGCACCAACCTCTGCCTTTACCACCCCACCCCCCACACCTCTGCCCATCTACCCCTGCCTCTTCCACTCTTCCCCACCTGGCCCACCCACCCCTGCCTTTACCACTTTAGCTCCCAAGTCCATTTGTCCCTGCCTGTACCACTCTTTCCCCTACTGCCTGCCCACACCACTATTTCTCACCCTACCCTGCCTTCACCACTCTTTCCCTCCTGCCCACCCACCCCTTCCTTGCCTTTACCACTCACTCTCACCCTCCCCCTGCCTTCACCACTCTCAAAAGCTACACTTCCTTATGTAATTGTGCTGCTCAGTACTTCAAGAAATGATTTGTGGCCATTTATTCTGGTCCAAGATTGTAAATTGCAGTTGCCACTGTGATGTTAATTACCAAAGTGCTATAATCTTCGTAATTAAATTAAATGCAGCCCCCTTTAGGAGTATTCTACGGAGTTAATCCGACTGGTTTCACTTGAGTTTTTCATGCTTGCGTTAGATGTTAACAAAAAACCCCACACGTTTGAAAAGTATTGTCAGAGTGGCAGTACTTTGTCTCTGTGCAGTAGGTGCTGTACTTTGTCCTGTGCATCAGCATTTTTGCCAACTGCCTTCAAGACTTTGTCTCGGATTGCCAAGATGTTCTAAAGCTATTGTTTAACCCCTTTGTGACTGACGTACAGTTTATGTCGCCAGCATTGGGGCTGTTTAAACAGACTCCGCCGGGAACAAAATAAAAACAATGAAGCGCCACGGACGATCAATCCCCGGTGTGAAATCCTCTCAGGCACACTGCAGGACGCTGCCCCAAAGAAGCCGGGAGAGCTGAGAATCTAGAAAGTAAGCACAAAAGGGGCGCCTTCCTGGTGCAGATCAATTTTATTTCAGTAGATGAAAGTGAAAAACCGAATGGTACTCACAAAACATGAAAATCACACAGCCATGGGATGAGAGCTGACAGGCAGTAAGATGTCCACTCGGCAATGCCAATGTGTGGTGCCGTTAACGCGTTTCCGGGGCACGCTGTTGGCTGTTCTGATGAAGGGGGCGTGCCCCGGAAACGCGTGGCTGTGTGATTTTCATGTTTTGTGAGTACCATTCGGTTTTTCACTTTCATCTACTGAAATAAAATTGATCTGCACCAGGAAGGCGCCCCTTTTGTGCTTACTTTCTAGAATGAGAGCAATAATTTTAGGGCCAGTATTTCGGGGTATCTCAAAATTGATGACCTGTGGGGGCTTTTAAAGCGTCTTTTATGGACTTTTTGGGGTACTGCAGTTTTTTGCGGTTTCAGGGATGCACGCAATTTGTAAACTGGGCATGTTGGGTATCGTTGTACTTGTTGTAACCTCATCTTTTATATTTCATTAAAAAAAATGGGTATTTTGTTGTGTTTTGGGGCATTTAATTAAATTTGTCAATAAATTTTGGGGTTTAATAAGGAGTTGCGCTAATATTGCGCAACATAACAATTTGCAACAACCACCATTTTATTCTATAGGGTCTTGGCATTCAGAAAATATATAATGTTTGGGGCTTTTAAGTAATTTCCAGGCCTAAAATGTGGAATATAACATGGGTGCAAAAAAATGACAAAAAAGGCTTCAATCATGAAGGGGTTAATTGCACACTTTTGTGTTACCCATATAAACTGGTATTTGTTAGTGCTAAGCCATTAACTTTTTTTTTTTTGTCCTTCCCAATTTCAGAGATGATGAAAGGCAGCGGGTATCTCTAGATATCATTTATAAGATGTTATCCAAACTGAAACCTGCAGAGCTGCGAGAACTATTGCCTTCTGTGATTGCATTTAGCTCACACAATTTTCCTGTTTGTCGTGAACGGATGTATGACATTCTCATGTGGGTTTACGATAACTACAGGTAAGAACCTACGATTGGCTCTTTGCATACATTTTCTTAAAAAGATCTTCACATCAGGGCAGGTTAGAGACCCTGTTGCCAGACCTTTACATATTTATGTATGTTATTTACCTGTTAAATTCTTCCTTGTGTAGAAATGTAAAAGCCCTGGGGCTTGCAGTTGGCTGCGTGGATCTTGGATGTAATGTCAGCAACCCCAGCACACTCAGAGCTGTAGCTGCACTTACACGCTAGTAATCTCATTTGATCCTCCCCCAGCAGCTACATAAAAGGTAAAAGGAAGGGGTGGAGTAGCTGGCCCAGCACAGATAGTATTTAGAAACTCCCAGAAGAGGAGAGGGCTATGACATGCAAGGAGGGAAGGGACTGTCCTAGAGAATTGAATAGAAATTTTTTTTATGTTACGAAACATTTATTATTACCCAATTTTTTGGTAAAATGTACAATATGGGGTCACATTGGGTAAACAGATACCAAACATGTCGAGCCTTAAATATGCATGCGCCCTTGAAATCACAAAAAACTACCATACCCAAAATTGGCCATAGGTGATGCTTTATAGGCTTTTACTGCTCATTTTCTTAGTGTTAACAGTAATTGAGGGCCCTATAATTATTGCTCTCACTCCAATGTTTGCACTGATATGTAACATGCGTGGCATAATTTGTAAATGCATGTTTCTATGTGGGGACAGGGTACTTAAAAAATATATTTAGCTTTTTGTTATATGTGACTTATTTTTGCAACTTTTTTTTTTTTTTTACACTTTATTGCCATCACATAGGAGGCTTGTTAGCTAGCACCCTATGTGATTGCACTTATACAGTGACAGGTCCTTTTTATGGATACATCTGGGGTCTATTGGATCCCTAATATCACCTATGGACTTCCTTAGAAGCTGATGAAGCAGCGATCTGCTTCACCAGCTTCTTCTATGGCTACAGCAGTGTGAGTGACACCAGAAGTCATGTAATATACAAACTTCTGGGTCCAGTGATTGGAGCGGAGATCAGCTGCTGGGAGTTTGCTGATATCCCTCCGCTCTTAAGGTGCCCATACACTGCACGATTTTCGTACGAGAATCGCGGGAAATCCCGCGATCGTACGATATTCGTGCAGTGTATGGAAGGCGTGCGACCGTTTCTACTGTACGGTCGCACGTCTTCCGTTAGTGGCCTGCTTGTGCGACAACTGCCGAATGGGCCGATTTGCAGTGATCGGAAGCCCGCCCCTCAGCTTGGTGGACTTTTGAGGATCGCAAGTACGATCTGCCTGTCCAAGATTTGCAGATCGTACAAGCTTTTAATAAGCTTACGACCACCGCAAGACAAAAGTCTTGCGATGGTCGTGAGGTGTATGGGCACCTTTAGAGTACAGACCCACTGTGCCAGTACCAGACTCATACGGGGGACAGCGGAGCCCATGATAGCTGGCAGCGGTAGCGAATGCACGCTACCACACAACATACAAGCGATCGGGTGGCTCTATAAAGCTTGTTTGTAAACAGCCTATGCTGACTATTTAAAATGCTTACAGCTTCCCGCTTGTGCGCGCGCGCGCAAGCGGGAACTGGAAAAGGACATTTACAAACATCCACCCAGTCCTAAGCATCCGCTATCCGGCCGTTTATTTACAATCAGCCGGACGTCAAAGGATTAAATATATATAATGTTCCCAGGGCACTATGGGCTGCCCAAAGAGACAGACAGATACAGTGGTTATTTATTTTCAAGATCAATGGCTCTCTTTGAAAACTTGACTGAAGTTGCATGGATGGAGAGTAGGGCTGCAACAACTAATCAACATAATCGATTATAATCGATTATTGAAAAAGTTGTCAACTTTTTCAATAATCGATTAATCGGCTTCCGATTGGTTGGCCCTGTTCACGGCTCCACACACGCTGCACGCCACACCTCCTCCCCACCTCACGCTTGCCGCTGCCATGCCCGCCCGCATCCACACCTCCTCCCGCCTCACGCTCAGTGCTCGCCCAAATCCACGATCGGCACAGGTGCGCGGGGAGAAGAAGTAAGGAGGAGCAGGCGTGAGGGAATGACAGCCGCCGCCAATAGGCCCGATCTCAGAAACAAGTTGCTAGAAGACTGCTCAGGTAAGCCTGCACTTTCCCACACATGGTGCTCTATAATGTATTGCTGGGATTTGTATTCCTCTATACCTGATGGTACATTGTGATGTATATTAGATCGGCTATAGAGGAATACAAATCCCAGCAATACATTGTACACTGTATGTATAATGTATTGCTGGGATTTGTTGTATTCCTTTGTAGCTGGTGGTATTCTGCATTGCGCTGTATGGAGGACTACAAATCAAGGAATAATATATTATACAGCGCAATGCGGAATACCACCAGCTATAGACGAGTACAACAAATCCCAGCAATAATACATTATACAGCGCAATGCAGAATACCACTAGCTATAGAGGACTACAACACCCAGCAATAGTACATTATACAGCACAATGCAGAATACTACCAGCTATAATGTACTATTGCTGGGATTTGTTGTACTCCTCTATAACTGGTGGTATTCTGCATTGTGCTGTATAATGTACTATTGCTGGGTTTTGTAGTCCTTAATAGGCGGTGCCATTCTACATTAATTGCTGTATAATTTTACACTTTTCATTTCACTATATTGCACACCACACTTTTTTTTCCTTTTCTTTACTTCCACCGCTCCAAGCTTGCTCCTGTGATGGACTACAATCTCAATACAAACTAGTAGTCCATCACTGGAGCCATTTTTTAAAATGTATTTAATTTTTTTATCCGATTAACCGATTAATCGAACTTAATAATCGTCCAACTAATCGATTTTGAAAATAATCGTTAGCTGCAGCTCTAATGGAGAGGTGACTAATCACTGCTCCTATTCATTTATTTGTGTGTAAATTTTAAGTTTGAACTGTTAGTCTTAATATAGACCGGAATACATAAAACTGAGGCCACATGCTGGCTAGAATAACAATGCATAATATTAATATGCAATGTTTCACCTTTACTTGACTAAAAAACTATTTGTTTCAAATTCTGACCCTAATAAAGAAAGGAAATAAATACAAAACCATTCTATATACCCTTAAACAGTGGTGCGGTGGATTTATTGACCTGAGTGTGTATTTGCACGCAGACTGTATATAGAGTTTAATTTCCTTATAAAGGTCAGAGTATGGCAATAGTTGCTATGGTATTTGGAGGTACTTGAGCAATTTGAAAAAATCTTGCTACAAACAGTCGTGTTTTAAATGTATTAAAATATGCTCAACTCCATTCTTTGTCATGCTCCAGAGATCCAGAAAGCCAGTTAGATAACGATTCACATAATGTTTTCAACATGGTTAAAGAGGCATTACTGGAAGGACTGGTGGATGGAAATGCTGAACTCCAGTAAGTTTAATTCTTTGTTGCACTACTCCTTATCTATACACATAAATTGCTGTATTTCTGTTGTATAGTCAAAACCTTTTTTTAATTACATTTTGGATAAAGTGGGGAAGACCACCTTTTTATTGCTGTCTTCGTACCCATTTTGCCCATTGTCTCCAAGAAAGAAAGTGAAGGACATTCAAAATTGGGAACGTTCAAAATCAGAGGTATGGGAAAACCTCCCAATGGGGCTGCCTGTTCTATGGACAACTGTCTAATAGGGGAATTCCCCATGCTTTGGGAGATTTCTCCCAACTTCATCTTGTGTTTTAGGGACAGAAGGTGAAGGGAAATGTCTCCAATGGTACACAGATGGCAAAACATGAACTGCCAGGACGTTTAACCCTTCTATACTCTATCCAAATCTAACAATACATATGCTTTAAACCAGATTTGCATCCACACATTGTTACATCCTATAATTAAAGCTAGGTATGCACCGATACCACTTTTTTAAGACCGAGTACCGATACTTTTGATCAAGTACTCGCAGATACCAATTACCGATACTTTTTCTTAAAAGGACAGGTCACATTTTTTCTAAAGTAATACAAACTAATGCTTTAAGGTCACTTTCTTAATATTATGATTCATGAGATGACGAGGGAGCATGACGCCGGCTTCCCGGCCAATCAGAATCCCGGGCGCTGCGTCATTACACGGCGCCTGGCTTCCGGATTTGCTAGCTTCCTGACCAATCGGGAAGCCGGGCAGCGCGTCATTGCACGCTACCCGGCTTCCTGATTGGCCGGGAAGTCGGCTCCATGCTCTCTCATAACAAGTGACAAGAGAGCATGGAGCCGTTTCCTGGCCAATCAGGAAACCGGGCAGCGTGTAATGATGCTAGTATCAGTGCATCCCTAATTAAAGCCATCCAAATTTTCACTTATTTGGATTTTTTTAATTTTTTTCCCCCTTAGAAACAGTAATTTTTTTAAAATTAAAATGTATGTGGGTTTACCAGCCCTGCTAGTCATTCTAGTCATATGCATGTCACAGTATACATTGACTTTAATTCTGGAATGATTTACCAGGACTACCAGGAAGTAGGGCTGCATCTAAAGATTATTTTCATCAGAATTCATTTGTTAGCCGCTAATTTTTTTGATGGGATAAAAAAATTAAATAAATAGCCTTAATTTTAAATAAAATGCACATAAGCGGTGTTACAAACAAAGTTTACTTCAGAATAAAACTGCATGCACAATGTTTTGCAGTCGCACTGCACTGGAATGCACAGCATTGCAGTACTGCGAGTTCCAGTGCTGGCTTTCACACTCGGAGGCACGTTTGGGATGGCACTGCAACGCACCTCCCGCATTAGAATTTGTCAGGCCGAAACCGAAAATGACTTTTTCTTTCCTACCTTTTGATAATTTTTTTTAACAATAATTGTATTGTAAGCACATGGCACTTGAATAGCTTCAGCCAGGGAATGACAGCTGCCAGTGGCAAGATTCCACAGGTGCCAGCTGAATGTAAATACAGCAGGTAGTGCGCTGGTGCAATAGCATGCTGGCTAATGCACCCGCCCACTGCTTGCTGTGCCATCCTCTCTCCGTGAGGGAGAGAGATAGGGGATCCAACCAACTAATCTATAATGAGAATAGTTGACAACTATTCTCATTATCTATTAATCGATTAGTTGGTTGGAGCCCTACAAGGAAGCCATGTTTGGTTTGACTGCCTTGTTTTTTTTAATCCTTTTTCCACAACTGTAGATTATGTCTTACAGAAACAAAACTTGTTTTTCTTAAATCTGTGTCTGCTGTGTTGTCATGTCAAATAGGAACGTAGGAGCGTACTATATTTTTGGTACATCAGCAGTTATCTTTAAAGGGATAAAACCTGGGGAAATGTGCATTTTTTTAATTTTGCTCTGGCACAAGTTTTAAAAATATGAACAGTTCCAACGGAATGTTTTCTTTTTTTTTTTTTTTTTGCCCTTATCACAGGCTTATTGTCAGGAATTTTTGGAGCAATGAAACTCGGTTACCAACTGGCACAATGGATCGTATGTTAGCTGTGCTTAGCTCTTTATATTCCACAAAGATTGAAAAGCACTTTTTAAGCCTATCCACCAACTTGCTTCTCGAAATGACCAGCAGGAGTCCAGATTATGTCAGGCAGATGTTTGAGCATCCCCTGTCAGAATGCAAGTTTCAGGTAAAATATGCAGCAATGTGTCTGAATTTCAGCTATGAAATAAATTTCAGTAACATTTAAGTATTTCATTAACCATTCTGTTATAGGATTACACTGTTGAATCCAACTGGCGCTATCGCAGTACTGTTCTCACACCAATGTTTGTGGAAACTCAGGCTTCTCAAAGCAGCTACAGGTCTAGAACACAAGGATCCTTGTCCGAGGCAGAGCTTGGGGCAGCCCAACTGAGAGCCACTCAGCAACACTATCAGTTTACACCCACACAGAATATAGGTATGTGATGTAAAGTGCAAAATATTTTTTTAAAGAGATAACTGGGATGATTTGGTATAGTGTTTGGGACACTTTCTGGTAGTACAGCCCCTTTAAAAAGTCCTGTCCTAATTAATGAAAGCTTTACAACAGTTTTGTAAATAGTTCCAACATGTGCAAAAGATTTAGGCAGTTCTTGTTGACCGATTTAATTCCGCTTCGCTACCTCTGAAGTATCGAAGCAGAATAGCCAAGCCGACCGTTCAGCAATTCACTCTCTGCTGTTCGGCCCCTTGGAGAATATGGGTGAGCAGCAGTGAAGGAACTGCCAAACGTTTGCCTCAGCCGAACAAGATATTGCATCAGCGGAGGCGAACGGCCTCTTCCCATTGGTTCAGCCGAACGTGCTGAGGCTTTTCAGCCGAGCCAAAGAAAGGTGAAGTGAGCCGAACGCAACTGATATATGGCTCAAAATAGCTGCAGGGAATAGCCGAAGCGGCTTTGGCTGCCTTCGGTTTGGCTCTGGTGTTCATTCAGCTGCCTTAGACAGCTTGGTGAATAACCCCCTTGGTCTGACTCATCAGTGGTTTTACAGGTGCAGACTGTATCTTTCCATTGGGAGCTCCGCTCCATCACTACAGCTTTTTATTTAAGGAGATTTTATTTCCTGTCTGCAGTATTATGGCCACACTGACATAACTCTGCAAAACACAACACCTGTAATGTGTTTTTTATTCATTCTCCTGCAATCAGACTTTCAGTTGTATTGCCAATAGTATTTAGAATACTTGCGAGCAAGTTTGTTTTAACCCCATCAAATGCCAAAACGTTGACAGTTCTCGGACTGCCCTTTTTTAAACTCCAGATGTCAATCATCATTGGAATTGCCATACAGTTGAATTACCACCCTTGGCTTATATTTTGTTTGGCTTCAATTATATCTCTGGCTAACAAATGTGGAGTTGATCTGCATATGTATAAGGGGGCCAAGCTGTTTGCTGGGATCTACCTCTGATCCATGGGTCATTACATTCCTTGTTTTTCCCCCCTTTTCTTTCAAATCTGTCACTAAGATATTGGATTTACCTAGTTCCTGTCGGGATCTCTCCATGCATCTGTTTTTCAATGTAGACTTTATGCAAACTGATTTTGGTCTGTGACTGTTATGCCCACATCTGAGAGATTGCTTTTCTTCTTATTGCAGAAGTCAGGTTTACCCTTGAAATTAGTGACACAATGGCTCCTTCTTGTGATTGTACCTTGTCGAACCATGTGTGGACAAATAACTGACATTTTTACTATGTGTACACTTGCCTTGGTGAGCAGAGGAGCCTGGGTGCTGCTGGGGGTGGTCCTTGTGGCTCTTGCAGTGCAAATCTGTCACAGTCTGGTTTAGGAGCTCTTTGATGTATGTAGTGCTTTACCAGGGTCTTAGCAGGTGCACGCTCTGACTGGGGATGGCACGTTTTTGCCTGTTAGGGTTTTCTCCCTGTTTGTACACACTTGCTGGTTGCTGGCACAGGGGAAATGGCAAACTAGCGGTTGGCCAGTTGGACGAATGGGGACAAGACCCCATTACAAATCTGTGTGTCCGCGCCTTAGGCTCTCTTTTGACCTTTGACTCTCACTTCCACTATGGAAGGCTTTGCATCCTTTATGGGCACTGTCAGTATCAATTAAATGGTGGATGGGTGAGAATGTCTCTGGAAAGGTTTGTGCACCTGGCTTGCATCTATCTACCATACCAGTGACATTGACAGTGCACCTGACTGCCCACTACAGGCACTGTCAGTGGAATGGTGGATAGGTGGGAGCCAGGTGCAACCACCAATCATTTCAGTTACACTGTGTGCATACAAATACATACATAAATATATATATATAAACACCCCTCTGGTGGCAATGCCGTTCTCCAGGAAATCGTGGTGGCAGCAGCAGCATACAAGAACGCTGGGGGTGCCTCTTCGTCCTCCTCCTCCCAGTGCTGGGACAAGGTCATCTGGTGCCCAGGGCAAAAGATGTCAAACCCCACCCCACACACACATTGGTATCAGTGGGGACAAAAAAATAACCCCCAGCATTGGTGTCAGTGGATGCAATATTAACCCCCAACATTGGTGACTGTGGACGTAATAATAAACTCCAACATTGGTGTCAGTGTACCCAATAATAACCCCAGCATAGGTGTCAGTGGGCGCAAAATTAACCCCCAACATTGTTGCCAGTGGACCATTCAATAAACCCTGACAGTGGCTGCCTCATTATAGGGACAGTCCTGCAGCTTACTAGCATTTCAGAAGTGATCAGCAATGCCAGATGACTTATTTCTACTCTTTCATTTTGGTTTATCTGAATCATTTTCACCCTTTGTTGCTAAAATCTGCAGATCTGTTACTTGTCCAACTTATTACTTATCAGCCTGCCAGAATGGCATATTGTTGTTTTTCTTCCATGATGACTTAATATTTAGTAACATAATACAAATATGAATGCATACAAATATTGATACATATATAATAATGTCAAATCTGTGGAGGTATAACAATAATGAGATTTTAATTTTGCACTTTATTTAGGTGGCAGAAGTTCCTATAACTGGCTGACTGGAAGTAGCATGGACACGCTTGCAGATTACACCATAGACTCTTCAGAGTCTGTGTCCTCAGGATTACTCTTTACAAGCAGACGGACTGACAAAACACGTAGGGGCCCTTTAAAACCCCTGGGGCCTAACTTTGGAAAACAGAGACTGGGGCTTCCTGGAGATAAAACAGACAGCAAAGCCGAAGGTGAAAGCGCTAACTGTATACTGTTTGTAATCTCTGTGTTGTAAATTACACATAGGATTGTAGTCCAAAGATTTATACTTTTTATTGACACAAAGCCCATTCTAAGCAAAACTTTTTTTTTTAAAGTTATAGCTGGACTTGGGAAGAGTAAATACTTCTGTCAAGTTTTTGTTGTCAGTGACCTCATTGGGGAGATTTCACCTCTCTTCCAGTTTGTTACAGCCTGTGATGACAGGACAAGAGAGCGGTTGCTGCCTGGACAGGAAGACAGAGGAAGACATTAATAATAACCTGACAGAAGTTCTAAGTCCCAGTTGTCCCAACTGAGATATCCCATCACTTCCTGTCTCCACAGAAAGTGGGGGCAAATCTCAATGGAGAATGAAACTTGAGGTTTCTATTTCTGAGAAAGGTTGTATCCCTTTACCAATCTGTTCAAAACCTAAAAGGAAAAAAAGTTTGGGCTAGATTTTGGCGTTAAGCAATGTTAGGAATATCGGAGTGTTTGCTTTGCATGTTATCACATTTGTGGATTTACATATGTTCTGAATTCATAGGTGATCATAAATAATATGACACCTAGGCGCATGGATCAGGACAATTAAGCAGCCCATAGACGTTGACAGCTGTAGAATCAAGCTACTTTTTGACTGGATAAGGAAATGCTTTCATGCCTGTCAGTTGACAGCTGTGGAGGATTACGTTGATCAGGAAATCCAGAGATCTGTTCTAATTGATGATATTCTCCACTGAGATGTGCCAATGATAGTAGTTTCTGCCTGTACCACTCTCTTCTGATTATCAAATACAGTAGATATATCCTGATTATCAGAGTATATACAAGGGCTAGCAAAAGTATTCACCCACTTGGCATTTTTCCCTATTTTTTTTCCCTTACCAGCTGGAATTAAAAATAGATTATTTTTTTTTGGGGGGGGGGTTGTATCATTTGATTTACAAAGCTTGCCTACCACTTTGAAGATGCAAAATATTTTTTATTGTTATTCAAACAAGAAATAAGAAAAAAACTGAAAATTTTAGTGTGCATAACTATTCACCCCCCAAAGTCAATACTTTGTGGAGCCACCTGTTGCAGAAGTTACAGCTGAAAGTCTCTTGGGGTATGTCTTTATAAGCTTGGCACACTGAGATTTTTGGCCATTCTTCAAGTCAAAAACTGCTCCAGCTCCTTCAAGTTGGATGGGCTTCGCTGGTGTAGAGCAGTCTGTAAGTCATGCCACAGATTCTCAATTGGATTGAGGTCTAAGCTTTGACTAGGCCATTCCAAGACATTTAAATGTTTCCCTTTAAACCACTCGAGCGTTGCTTTAGCAGTATGTGTACGGTCATTGCCCTGCTTAGAAGATGAACCTCCATCCCAGTCTCAAATCCAGGCAGACTGAAACAGGTTTGCCTCAAGAATTTATAACTAGCCTTTGTAGCAAGGTGCATGCACATGGAAAGGATTACAACAATACAAAACAGAAGTTTCCCAGCACACTTACCGGCTAGCCTGCAACAAAATGTATTTTCTGTGTTTGGTGTGGGGATGTACTGGGAACCCCAGCATGCATTTTGGATTGCCGGGCCTCCAGTGCGTCCCTGAGCCTTTAAAGAAGGAGTGGGCTCCCTGCAGGCATACCTGCATTCAATGTATCAGTGTGGCTCCACATTTTTTGCAAAAAGTTGTGCAACTAAACTCGGATTTTAACGCATACTGTGAGGGCTTGTTCACATGATGTCCGGATTCTGTCCGGACCAGAACCGTCCGCTCCTGCACCCAAAATGCATCCCAATGTCTCCTTATGTGTTTTATGGGCTACAGTTCTCACCAGCGCAGTCCGTTCCGGTCCGGACAGAAAAAATACTGCATGTCACATTTTCTCCGGCACGAACGCGTCGAAAAGGTGCTGAAAACGCAACACACTGCAGCTAACACACTAACAGCCCCACTCTAAAAAAAAAAAAAAACATTGAAAAAAATATATATTTTTTTTTAACTGGAACGCGGTAAAAACATGTCAAAAACGCACTGCACGCATAGCACCGCGTCTGCAGATCTGCTCCAGATCTGGCCTAGAAAATGGTGTGAACAAGCCCTTAGACACGACAAATTGTTGTGTTGCAGAGTAGCCTGTAAGTGTGCTGGGAAACTTCTGTGTTTTGCATTACCTCAATAATTTCCCTGCATTTAACACCATCCATCATTCCTTCAATTCTGACCAGTTTGCAAGTCCTTGTCGATGAAAAACATCCCCACAGTATGATGCTGCCACCACCATGGTGTTCTTGGGGTGATGAGAGGTTTTGGGTTTGCGCCAGACCTAGCGTTTTCCTTGAAGGCCAAAACGCTAAATTTAAGTCTCATCTGACCAGAGTACCTTCTTCAATATGTTTGGGGAGTCTCCCACATGCCTTTTGGCGAACAGCATACATGTTTGCTTATTTTTTTTGTAAGCAGTGGCTTTTTCCTCGTCACTCTTCCATGAATGGCAGCTCTGTGGAGTGTACGGCTTAAAGTGGTCCTATGGACAAATCCTCCAATCTCTGTGGAGTTTTGCAGCTCCCTCAGGGTTATCTTTGGTGCCTCTCTGATTAATGTCCTCCTTGCCTGGACCATGAGTTTTGGTGAGTGACCCTCTCTTTGTTGTTGTGGTGCCATATTCTTTCCATGTTTTAATAATGGATTCAATTGTGCTCCATGGGATGTTCAAAGTTTCTGACCTGTTTGTAGAGTTCCTTGGTCTGCATAGTGCCGCTTGGTTGGTGGTGCTCCTTGCTCACTGATGTTGCAGATTATGTGGCCTTTCAGAACAGTGTATATATACTGAGATCATGTGACACTTAGATTGCTCACAGGTGGTCTCTATTTAGCTAATTATGTGACTTCTGAAGGTAATTTGTTGCATCAGATCTTATGTAGGGGATTCATAGCAAAGGGGGTGAATTAATATGCACGCACCACTTTTCCGGTTTTTATTTTTTATAATGTATAAAAACAAATTATTTTCTTGATTTCCTGTTCACCATTTTGGACTAGTTTGTGTACGTCCATTACATGTAATCCAAATAAAAATCCATTTAAATTCCAAGTAGTAATGCAAAAAATGTGTGGCATTAAAAGTAATGCCAAGGGGGTAAATACTTTTGCAAGCCACTGTACGGTTATAGGTCAGGGTTACCCATTCTACAACCAACAATCTTGTTGGTTCTGCTGAAAAATCAGAGAAAATAGGATTTTTTGCACTCACTACAAACTAATTTCCTCACTCTTAATTCATTTTGGCATGGGAGGCAGATTTCAGTCTCATGTGTTTTTTTGTTTTGTTTTTTTTTATGCCTTTTTTTTCTTGTAGGCCTTTAAATTGTATGTTTTTAATTCTGGATTTACCTGCTAGGAATTGTGTAAGTAACCACTCGTATATAAAAGGGGATTTTGAACTTACATTTCTTCACATATTTTGTTCAAGGCATAGTTGAAACATCTGAAATCTTGAGATTGCGCAGGCGTTTTTTGAAGGACCGAGAAAAGACAAGTATCAGCTTTGCAAGAAAGGGAGTGGCGGAACAAAAAAGAGAACAGGTATGGTTCATAAGAATGATCCTGTAATTGGTTTATTTATTTGTTATTTTGAACAGCTAAAGTAGTGTTAAATAGGAATATGGAATAATAGCATGGCAAGTTTTATCAATTCTGCTGTAGATAATGGAAAAAGCATAGCCTCATCTAACTATTAATCTCGTATTCCTCTTCTGACAAAATATTATAGATTGCAGGCCTGAGTTTGACTGAAGTAACTTTTGGTGTCTGTAGTCAGTATATTGCTATTGCTCATGCTGAAAGAACATTAAATACCTAGTATGTGCAGTCAGCTGCAGGACCAGGCTGCTATTGGGAGCTGTGTGTAGTAACCAAGAGTTCAGGAAGCATTCTTTAACGTTCCCCATCATGTGATCTCTGCTGTGAATGTAAACAGATCAGAGATCAGGCTGCTGGTTGTCCCTTTAGGTACTTCTAACATGAAGGTTAGGAATCTCTGCGGTGTTTACCATGATTGGCCATTCATAGCATACAAAAAGAAAGTTTGTTATTCTAAGTATTTTTTCTTCTGCCTGTAAAACAGCAAAATATCTAGAAAAAATAAATAAAACATTAAAATGTATTCAGAATGTGTGACTTTTGATGCAGCTGAGAACTATCTAATTCTTTCTAGTTAGGTTGACAATTTTGGTAATGGTAATTGGAAACATCATAAAATTAACAATAGAAATAACAAATCCTGCAAGTTAATATAGACACCATTCATTCCAAGTCCTATAA